ACACGCGGAACGCTGAGGGGCAGATGAACCCACGCGAAATATGTCAAGCAAGAGCAAATTTTACTTTGAGTCAATTAGGCGCATAAATTAGAAAAGTCTACCACAAGTTTAGCCCGGTTTGCTGCCATGGTTAATGCGATTAGAGGCGAACGGCGAACAATGAACAATTTGCGTATAATTAATGCGCATAGTTGGCATTTTTATGATGCCTGGCGACGTTATTCCCTGGGACTTTAAATTCATCTAAGCTGTGCCTGCCTGCTGAAAGAGTGCTCTGCTCCTCTGACTTACTTGGCAGCGGAAATGAATGTGTTTATGTGTATCCAAAAGATTTGCTTGGCCGCCAGCCAAGTGCCTGCCCCAGACAGGCCAACACTTTTCTTCATTGTTTGCCCGCTCGGCAACAGCAACAGAAATAGCAAAACCAACTTAAGTTGAGTGAAAAACAACAGGAAAAACCCGGGAACGAAAACAAACTGTGAATAAGAAGTTCTCAAACGAACACTTTTTGACGCGCCTGGGCCGCAATGCAGTTTGTGTCATTTCAACTTCCTAACCAAAAATGAACTTGGTGGCAGAGGTTAGGTAATGAAGCCAAGAGGTCATGTCGAATGTTGCCAATTTGGCGATCTTTTTTACAACTTTATATATTTTCGTAAATAGTTCAGTGGCTTATACTTGAGCATTTAAATATATTGAAGGTCTTGATAAGTTGTCAAGTTGTTAGATTCTAAAAATACTAAATTCTTATTAACTAGCTCAGGTTGTAAAAATTGTTATTGCTTTAATTTAAATGATAAACAAATAAGAACGTAAAATAAGAAATTTTATTAAGTAATTTTGTATCCCTCCTTAAGACGTTGCCAGCACTGGTCAAGTTCTTCGAAAACTTTTGTAAAATAATTGCAAGCGGGCCAACGAACTCTTTTTCTTTGCAAAGGGTTCACATTCAAATTTGCATTAGTCCGTCACAAAAATTTTGCAGAACTAGTCACTTTTGATAAAGTTGTATTCAAAGTTTGTATTAATAAGCAAACTATATATTAAAAGGTATAGGTAAGTTCTAAAAATATAGTTCATTTTATGTGTTAACTTTATTTCCTATTTGTAAAATAAAGATGTTGAATTTAAAATGATGTTTGTGTTCAGAAATACTATAAAAAAGAATAATATTTCATACATTTTAATAAAGTAACTTCATATTCAAATTATATTTTTTTTGTATTATATGATAAAGAGGTTTAATATTTAGTATTAAAACCAGCTTGATTGAATTAGAAATAGTTTAAAATTCTTTTATGTTATGTTAATTAATTTTAGTGCCAAGAATTATCGCTAATATCCCCATTTAGGACGCCAATCAATGTACCTTTAATGGCTTAGTTCAGCGAGTCATTCAATTGTTGAAGACCGTTTTCCCCCTCTTGTCGACCAAGTGCTCCAAGTATGACTTGCAAATGCAGGCGCTAACCAGTGGAAAGATTTGCATATTCCCATTTGGAGTCCAGACCATTACCGAGTGACTACCGCAGCCCGCTGCCCTTTATCCGCCAATGGGGCTATGGCAATTTTAGAGCCCCACGTAGCAGGGCCTAAATTATGTCCTGTTGCGGAGTCTCGCTGGCTGGCTGGTTGAGTCCGGCCATTGTGAGTCTGTGGCCACATTGCGTATACGCCCGCTAGTCCCTCGTTAATTGCAATGTTTGTCATTTGCCTGTCAATTTGCATTTAAATTACAAAATTTAAACGCTCTTTTTTGTTGCCATCCCAGGAACTTTACGACTGCCAAGATATGGATGAGAATGCTGAGCAGGAGGAGAAAGAGCATCAGGATGCTATTGCGCCAGCAAAAAGAGGTGGCAACGAGGCATTTGTCATGATGGCCCATCCATGGAGAGTCACTTAGACGTATGCTCCATTCCAGGACTAAAACCAGGACCAGGCTTAACCCAATCTTTTGTTTATGTGGATTCTGAATGAGGCACGGCCATGGCCGCGTAACGTTTTCGGGCTAATTTTGTTGCAAATTGCTCGGCTGTAAAAAATGTGATGGAGGTGAGAACGAGAGGGCGAAATTGCCGTGTAACGCGCCGACTGGCAGCTGACCTCGAACTTTGCTCTCCGGCGCTTGGTATGTTTGCCATTTAATTAAAGCGACACCCAACCAACGAACCAAGCACCACCCATTGCTCGTCCTTAGTCCTGTGCGTGTTGACCTTATTATGTTGACTTTGTGTGCAGTGCATAAACTGTGATAAAAATCGCATATTCCACGCGGCATTGCCCGCTTTTCCGACCGCCCACTCATCCATCCATTCCATAGATGAACATGGCTTCTGCCACCCCATTTTTAAATGTCTATAATTTATGTTGGCCGTTAAACTAGCTGGCTGACTTCAGCCTTCCTGACTGCCGGCTTTGGCTATGGCCTTTGCCGTTTGCTTGTGCTTTTGCTTTTGCTTCTGCTTTGCCGCTGCTTACAACAATTTGATGGCATATAATTATTAGTTCGTATAATTTATGGCTTCATTTTGGCTCACAAAGTTGTGAGCTGCCGCCTTGTGTCTTGTGCATTTCAAGTTGAGTTCGGCTTGGGTATAGAGAGGGAGGTTGCTCCCCGCTGATTTATAACTAATTTTGCTGACATTTTTATGAGCTATCGAGAGTGCAGCTGCAAGTGATTTTAATCAGTTCGGGCAATATGCAAAAATATGAAAAGAAATTGCCTTTTGCCAGTCAAAAGGAAATCGAATTTCGCTTCATCAAAAACGAGCAGGAAATATATAAACATGGCAAGGCATGGCATGCAAATTGAGCGTTTTCAAAGGAAATTATTCAGTATTTTATTTGTTTACGCCAAATATTACTTGAGGTTTTTTAAGTTAATGGAGCTGCTTATTTGTATAGTAGATATTCTTTTTATGGTTTTTGCTTATTTCTTAAAAAGTACAAAAGAACTGTAGTTAATAATACTTTTGTAAAGGAAAGCTAGATTTGTATTAACAAGTATAAGCCTATCCTCAGAAATATAAAATGTCATACAATTAAAACACAATTTTCTAAACATTTTATGTATAAAATGTAATATTAAAGAATTGCAACTAAGGAGCTTTCTATGGCTTTCTAATTATATATTTTTAAGATAAAAAACTTATTGAAATAAATTTAATATCTTTCGAAGCCTAGATCCACTGTACAGCTAACCCTGCTGATGACAAATTTTTGGAACGTAACCACGTTTGCCACTGTTTCTGTTGCGGTTGCATTCGCTGTAGGCCTGAGGGCTCCTGAAAATAGGGATGTGAACGACGGAGGTCCTTGAGTGAGCGGTTTTGTGACCATGTGGGGCAATCAAACTCAAGAATGCCGCTAGCCACTTATTAAGGGAAATCAAGGCAAATTGTAGAGCCCAGTTTTCGGTCTTGCAACATGCGACGCTGAACTTTGAACTGTCAATAAATTGCGGACTCCTTGGTGCCTTGTTTTTTTTTGTATATATTTTGGGCTCAGTGCGTTTTTCCTTCATTTTCATTTTCGGTTTTTCTTTTTTTTTTGCACGTTGAACTTTGAAGGCGTCGAAAAGGCCTAATTATCTTAATTAATGAGAGCCAAAGCGAATTCCGTGGAAGACAAATGTGCCGTGCTGTCGTGCGGTGGGTGGTTTGTGTGGCGCTGCCTGGCGGCATTCACTCAGCGGTGCAAGGACGTTCTGTGGGTGCCATTTTAATTGTCTCTGCCCGCCAACCGCTCCGCTCCGTTTCGTCTGTCTGGCTGCCAGCGTGTCTGTTTTTGTATATATCAGTGTATGTGTGTGTGTGTGTGATTTTCATTAATTTTACTTCGTTTTTACCATTTGCAAGCGTCGGTGGCTGTGGCCGATTTTGGTTTATGGCCTCGCTACCCGCTCAGCGCTTTTCTCCCGCTTTTTCCTCGCATTTCCCCTTGGTTTTCCCATGGCTTTCCTACCATCTTTCCCCAGCTCGTTTTCGCTGGCTGTCTGTGTGCGGTTTTTGGGTTCGCCGCAAAACGACGCAGGAAAAAGGCTCTGGCAAATGCCCGCCAGGCAATAAGTGGAAAAGTGTGCTAGGCGCCAAGAAGAAAGACAAAGAAGGCGATAAAAAAAAAGAAGAAAAAAGACAGAAGATAGGAGGACACTGGGGGGGAAAAGTGCGAAAGAAATGGTAGCTGGGAAAACAATAATAATGAGGCGCCATACAAACACACGGTGCAACACTTTGGCCAAACAAATTGTTAAATGCCATTTTGGGCAGTGGGCGTAATACAGAGTGGAGGCCATGTGGAAGTCGTGTACCACACAAATCTAGGCATCCTTTGCGGGCATTCATGGGTATGCTGATTTACAGCCTTAAAAAAAGCTAAAGGAAAGCATGATTAATGAGGCTGGATCGCAAGTGGTGGACTCCATGTGGATGTTGGCGCTGTTATTTTGTTTACTTTGATGGTCAGGAAATAAATGCAAATTCCCTCGGGTGCCACGTGCAGGTATTTAAGTGTGTGTGGATCCTAAGTTTGTTATTTATCAAAATTCCTGTAATATTCACGAAGTTTTCAATTCACCATTCCCTCTAAATGTTTCATTACCAGAACGTTTCAGTTTTACAAACTGCGCAGGATCCTTCCAGCTGAAAAAGCTTTTGCTCTCATGAGAAATTGAAAGTGAAGAGAGTGAAGAGAGCGGTTTGTGGATTGCATTGGAACTGGCACATTTTCGCCATTGTTCTTGGCTAACTCTTTTGTTGTTGGCCATCTGTGCTTCTGGGAGCATGAAGGCGGCTTCTTCGGTTCGTCTGAGTGACCTGCAATGGCCGCGTCAAGTGCCCGATTGACAACTGACAACGGGGAGGAGTTCAAAACGGGGCTAGTTGGCTTTTATGTTTTTAAAATCCTCTTGGGGACTGAAAATGATATTTTCCCACAAGACGAAAAAAAATTTACATATATCTAAATCAATTTTTTAATTTCTTAAATTCCCCAAAACCATTAAAATTACTTTTTTTTTACGTTTTTCTTCATTGGTTGCAATAATTCGACTATATTTCGTTTGTCAACATAAAAGTAACTACAAATCATAATAAAAAACATTTTTTACTTCTTGCACCGTTGCACAGGACTTTATCCTGTGAAATATTTATACAATTTTTCCATGGCATTTTGTATTACGAGTTCGTTGCCGTTTCAGTTCATCATCATTGTCAGCATTTTTTTGGTGGGTGGGATTTTTGTATCCTGCATTAGGCGGCGGTGGTCTGCTGTGGTTCTTGGGTGGTGCTGGTAGAGGCGACAGCCGACGATTCTGGCGCTTTCTCGTTGAGCGCCAACCAGGGGCATCGTTTCTGCAGCTCTATGCGGTATCTGGGATGACTTATGGCGTACACAAACGGATCGATGCAGGCCACCATTTTGCAGGCACAGGCTGGGATCATTGTGGCACCGGGCGTCAAAAGGGTTTTATCCCCGAAAGCGCCAATGAGCGACATTACTCCGTATGGTGTCCAGGAACAGAAGAACAGAAAGCAAATGGTAATGGCCGCTTTGGCTATCCGGATTTCAGCTGTCTCCTTACTTTTGTCCACATTGGAACGCAGTGATTCGACGTTCATCTTCTTAGCCTGATCTCGTAGGGCTTTTTCGTGACTAAACACATGACCCACAATCTGTGAATAGTAATATACGATCATTGATGTTGGACACGCGAAACTGAAGAAGAATATGCAGGCCACAAAGAGGCGGGTATCGAAGTTATCGGTTAGATAATCAAAGGTGCAGGAGGTCAGGTATCCTTCGGGCACAAAACGACCCCAGGTTTCCGTATAGCAGGCCACCACCCAAGGAGTGGCGTACATATAGATAAAGATAATCATGGCAATTGCCTTTCCATGTGTCATCTTGCCCTCCATGGGTCTTAGTGATCACATTGAATCGATCGTAGGCTATAAAAGCATTCGTGGCGCTGGCAGCAATTCCTGTATAGGAGCCAATAATTCCAAAGATCTGGCACCCCAGATGACCTAGGGCGTATCCTTGGTGGAAACTATTGTAGATAAATATCGGTGTTTTGACCATCATCATAAAGTCGCAGAAAGCCAAATTGATAACCAAAATATTCGAAGGAGTGCGTAACGATTTTGCCGCTGAAAAGACCCAGATGACCAGTCCATTACCCAGCATTGACATCAGTGTAAAGAATATATAGAGGGTTCCCAATAGGTAGTTCATCGATTCAGGTGGTTCCGGATACGTCAACCAATGCTCTGGGATGTGACGCAGCTCCTCCGGCGGAACATTCCAGCCCAGCAAACGCGATTCAGCGGAGAGTCGCGCCTCCGCCCGCAGCGCGGTGGACACGTTGCCCAACAGACTAGACGACACGTTAGCGAACTCCATGCTCGGGTCTTTGGGCCAAGACAAAATCACAGCGAGCACGGTTTGTGGCTTTTATACGGTCAAACGGAATTGGATTAGTATTGCAACCACGGGATTAACCGCTGGGGATTGGCTTAATCCGTTGCTGACATTTTTGCTGGCGAAGCATTTGCATTGATTCTCGATTGGGGGTGCAGCTTAACTGAAGGTCAGTGTTGTGAATTGTTAAGTAAGATTTTCTATTACGCAAAGTGATATTTTATTTGAAAGTATTTGTTGATAGGATGGTTCTCTTCAGGGAATACTAATTTTGGAAAGGCCTTAGCCTATTTTCTTAAAAAGAGGCTTAACAAAAATATATGCAGCAGATGCAGCAATGCATTTGGAGAAGATAAATTTATTCTAAAAGAAAGGTTTTACCGCTTACTTTTAAACACATCATCTTTGTGATATTTTTAATGAACTTCCATTTTTTAAAGCATCTACAAAATGTCGTCAGCTTTTCCGTTTAAACTTGAACTCGTAGATTTCACCATATGGAACGAGTGACAATCCCATGAGCAAGTGATGCAGCTCAGTTGAGTGTAAAAAATAATTTCTGTGCCACTAAGGTACATTTTCCAAATTGCTTGCCCCAAACGTATACTTGAAAAAGTTTTGTGCTATCCTATCTGATCTGCACACATATAGGTTTGAATATTTTCCCAACTGACAGTGGGGGTTGGCTGGGTATTTGGTTGGGTATCCGTATCCGGCGCCATAATCAGAGTGTAGCAATTGGGCTGGGGCCACGCCTACTTATTAACTCATAAAACAAAAAGTGTAGCATACTTTGGCGCGCGTCCCAAGACGACACACACATACACGTACCCAAAGCTACGGCGATGTGTGTGTAATTATATGTGAGCGAGCAGCAACAATTTAGGTCATAAATCATATGGAAAAAGTACACAAAGGCATGCAAATATTCCCCAATTCCCCGCCAAGCCGGCAACCGCACACATACATATATGGGTTTTATGTGAGCCGGTGTGTGTGTGTGTGGCATAGGATGGTTGGTATAGAGGGGGTGGGGATCATACGTGTGCATATGCTAAAAGTATGTACAAAGATTGATTTCCCTTTGTTTGCCTTTTAGTGTGTGTGAATGTGTTCTTCGCTTATTCACCTCAATTCCACAGGCCTATGCGATGCCATGCTATAGTAAAGACCCACCAAAACCCCAAACCCTCGAACCTTCAACACCCTACCATCCCCACCAAAAACCCCATCCCCAGGTCCCCCATCGCGGGGCACCACACCATGGGCTACGTACATCAACTACATACAACGCCATGGGTGGTAATATTATATGCTGAATGAGTTGCCTGTTGAAATAATATGTTATATTCACTTGATTTCGATTTTTGCCAGCGCCTTTTGCCTTCCGCCACAATTTTATGCATTCCCTAGCACAGAGTATCATAATTTTTCTAGAAAGTTGGCAACGCCATTAAGGAAGAGACAATAAATTATCCTATTATCAGCAATACCACATTTTTCGATCAAATAATTTAACTTTGTAAATTTGTGTGGTAATAATGAATCTGTTTGGTCCTTAGATTAATGTAATTTGATAATTGGTTTATTAATATGGTTAAGCATTCTAATTTATATCCTAAGAGGTACGACGTTTTGATGCGATGAAATATAACTTAGTAAAATGTGTCCTTAAGGGTATTTCTCAGCCTTCCAATTGAACTTTCCCTTCAGTTGTTTGCCTTTTTTTTTTGGTGGCAAGGTGAATGACTCTGTGGGGACTTCGGTTGCGAGTGCGGTGTGAGGGGCACGAATCCAGTGTGGATTTCCATGTAATTAAGGACAGCTGTCGACGGCCCACAATTCCCTAGTGTCATTGGGAGCAACCAAAGGAGTCGGGGCATCAAATAGAAGGGAGCTCTCAGTGCCAGGTTGATTAGTGTGGAGCATAAATGGAACATGTGTTTCTAGACAGAGCTGTAGGTGGAACTGCCACTTCCACTTCCACTTGGTCGATTGTCGCCGGCACTGATTAAATGATTTCATTAAGTGATTGCTGCAAAAGGTGACAGCGTCAATTAATGACAAGCGGAAATAGAAGTTACTGTTGGAAAAAAGCACGACAAAACGTAATTGGAAATCAAGGGAAAGAGTAGTTTTAATTTTCTCTATCCAGTATATCCTCGTAAATCGAAAGTAAACTTAGTTAAGCTCAATGTAAAACTTGATTTTTCAACTTTTAGATAAATGTTCTTACTGAACAATAAATCTAGGAATTATAAGTAAAAGTAAATAGAAAAATAGGTGTTTCGAAATAAGATTATAATCGTGCATATCAAATTTACGTAGATTTCAATTGTTGGCTTAAACTGCTGCCAACCATAAATCCCAAGGCAACCAAATGCGAACAAGATTTGTAGAATTTTTAGCATTTATGGTTGGCAATCCATTAATTGGTTTAAGACATGCAACGACTAGGAAATATATTTACATGAACATGGCCAGCGGGTAGCAGCAGCTGCTGAGCAGACACAAACCAATTTGCAGTTTGTAATGAAAAATTTGGCCAAATCTGTGGGAATTTGAATATTTATTTGCATTACCACCTGTGCAACATACCAACCAAGCAACTTTCCGTTGCATAGACAATTCCGCATATTACTCATACGTGGCGTTGTACAAAGTCGAGTGTATTCGAGCGCATTTACTTGTGTCTGCCTGCAGTCAGTACTAAATGTGGCCCATATGTGGTGGCTCCAGAGGACCTTGTTTGCCATCTTTCGGCTTTGGCGGTAATTGATTATCAAATTCAGCGTTGCATTTTGCCATGGCTCCGGGCCATAAAAGGTTGAGTTGCAGCATCGCAGCATTGGCCACAAAGTCCCCTTTTGCCCTCGTATCTTCTTCTGGTTCCCGCTCCACGATTACTTTTCCACATCCACATTTTTTCCCCTTCTATACGTTGGCATAAAAACTTTAGCCGCTCTTTTTTTTTTGGCATGCTAAAAATGGGCTCATGGGAGGCGTGAATACATGTGTGTTGGATGTGTGTGTGTGTGTGGCTGGTGGAGTAGCAAACATATTTTTAATGTGCAAAAATCTGTGAAATTTGTGCTATGTCGCTTTGATTGCAGTTTGGTGAACATATTTTAATGTGCGTATGTGTTTGGTATGTCTTGCAGCTAAGCGAAAGATGTGAATTCAGTTTGGGAAAGCTTATGCTCGCCAAATGGGAAAAACTTTTCAAAACTGTTACTTGCTATTAACGTAACTATTTGAAAGCTTTCGAATTTTATCAATTTTATTTTCATGGCTTAAAATATATGTACAGGGTGGCCCATTTAGCGTTTGCTTTTGGAACTATTGATTATTTTGACTTTGATTAGATCATTATCAATATTTAAGTTAAGTTTACGCTCGAAGAAAATTGGGAAATATTCATATTTTTATATTGATTTTAAAACGAAAATATTCCGTGGGACACCTTATACCTTTAAACCTACCAATAAATATTATGGTTATAATCGATTGATTTAAATAATATTCAATATGCCAAGAATTTCTTTAATTGCTTGAGACAACTTAAAAGAATAATAAATTTCATTTTATTTGCAAATTTGAAAATTTGAAAATCAAACGTTTTCTTTATAATATTAAACTTAAATTCCAGCAATAAATCAAGGAAACGCTGTGCATTGCACGACTTAATCCAATCGAATAAGTATAGTATCCATTTAAAATTCTGTTTATTTTCCATGTGAAAATCAAGAACATGCTAACGTAATTTACGGGTTATTATATAGTTGCGTTCAGGCTTTGATACAATTACTGTTATGTCAGCATTTAATAAAGCTGCAATGTCGATTCGATTAGTTTGATATCTCGACACTTTCAATCAATAATTATCCCGTCCATTTGTGTTTATCCCATGCTGACCCTTGCCCTAATTTACCAATAATAACTTTTCCGCTCGGATCTTGATGGTGACTCCATAAACTGATACCTCCCTTTCGCCGCTGGCTAATACAAAAATAAAGCCATTAAGGCATCTATTATTCAGCGAGGGCGAAAAAACAAAAAACAAAAGGAAAAAAAGTGCATGAAAACCCGTTATTGTTATCAATTCTAATTAATTAAAATGAAATTTGGTTGCGGCACCAAATTGAACATTTTTGCAATCAATTGAAATTCAATTAAAATACGTTGCCAGCTGGCTATAGCTATTGTAGAAAGCCCACAAATACAAATGCGTAAAGGTTAAGGGTTAAGTGGGTAGAGCGGGTATCGAATGTATATATATCTGTATATATATATTGGAGGCCATTAGGCAGAACACCAACAGTTACATGACACAAAACGAAATCCATTTAGTTCAATTAAATTTATTCATCAATTAAAAATAAAAGCTAAGCAACGCCAAATAATAACAAAGAGGCCAACACAAAAAAGCGTATTTCGAATTGATTACGTAAAGCGGAAACAGAAAAGCGAGCACGCCATTTAGGCGAGCCCCTAGCCAAAAACTTTCCTCTCGTCTGGCCAACCTCCCTTCTGGCAGTCCTTAACATAATAAACTTGGTTATGCCGCAAATTATTCAAGCGAAACGCTTCACTGAATCAGTTTTCCAAGCGAGCACTTGAGTCCTTGAGGCAACAACTTCACAACTCGTGACCTTGAGCACAACTGTACTGCGGCCACCAAGGACACGCCCCGCACTTGGCCATGTGGCCATCAACTGCATGATTGTGTTCATCAATTAGTTATAAATCACACGCCTTTGGTCATGGCTTTCGAGTCGGACAAGTGGACCCATCAAAGACGATGTGGCCCGTTGAAATTGAAATTCTACCACAGTTTTTTTCGCAGGTACAGTGGGCCTCGAAGACAAAAATTAAGATTAATGTTTTAAGACCTGAAAATAATATTAAAATAACTTTAGATGCGGAAAGCTTTGATTTAAAGCAACCTGTTTAATATTATTTAGACCTTCCTTATAGTTATGCCCAGCACTGTACGCCATAGAGT